CCGCAGCCTGCCGTGCCAGCCTGCCCCTGCGCAGCTTCCCTGGGGAAAGCCACAAGAAAGCGCTGGCTCTCCAGTGACACGCGTCACTGGGGGACCCGCTGCTTCAGCCGGCGCAGGGGGATGCGGAGGGTCCCTCCCCAGGAGCAGGACATCCCTACCCCATGCAGCCGCCTTTCCCTGCACCAGGCACGTGCTCCAAGGGGAAAGCACGGCTCTGAGACTTTATTTTCTCTTAGAAAACGAAATAAAACACATTTCCACAACAAACTATCTTACTCGGATGAACGGGGCGGGCAAAACGGGTGTAAGCCGGGTGTCCGCAATGCTGTTGGCACGCAGAGAGGCTCTGCAAAGAGGGAATCCTCCCTAGGACGCAGTAAGAGGTCCCCTCACAAGCAAAGCTCGGTCGTTGCCAGGGCCTGTTCCCAAGGGAGCGGCTGCAGCCAAAGGAGTCGGGGAGCAGACGCTGAAAGCAGTCGCGGGCGTCAGCCCAGCTTCACCGAGCCGCGGGAGCCGAGCCACCCCGCGCTGAAGCAGCACAACCCCGCCCGCAACGAGCAAAGGTGAGCACCGACACCCAAACAACACGCGCTGCGCGCCCGAGACGGGACCGTTCGTCGGAACCCAGATCCTACCTCACTGCTGGGCACCGGTGCTGCTGCAGTAGCTCCAGGTCTTGGTCTCCGCTCCGTGCTGCAGCCGTCCCACCAGACAACGTCTCATCTCGGCCCTGTTGAGCTGAACTCCCTGCTCTGCCACGGCTCTTTCCCATCAGGGAAGGACGGGCCCCAGCTCCTCTCTGCTTCCCTCCCCTCCACTGAGCCCAACTCGCAGCTGAGCCCAGCTCCTCGCCTTGGCAACCCAAGCCAGGTGGTGCCACCACCCTCCCTTGCTCCTTGGCGAAGCAGCTGGGCTCGTGACACACCTGGGGCTTCCCTGACACCTCTTCCACATGCCCTGCCCCTTCATCCTAGCCTGATATTCAGCGCAGCTGGGAACACGGCAGAGCCAGGACGAGCATCTCTTGTGGAGATCCAGCTTTGCCGGGAGAAGAAACGGAAGCGGGACCCAGCTTTAAGCGCCCATCTGCGCAGGGAAGGAGCATCGTCCTTTCTCTTGCCCCCAGCCGAAGCCGAGAGCAACACGAGCTCCTCTTCCCCTTCTGCGCTGCTTCGCCCTGAGCGGTCCCTGTGCAGCTTCGGGCGCTCTCCACGTCACTGCGATGCCTGTGAAGATCCCCTGCTCATCCCACGGAGAAGATGGGGTTTGTTTGGGGTGGGGGCGTACGAGGTGGGATTTCTCTCACCTCTGGTACCCGGGGAGGGCACAGACCCCCCTGAGGAGCTGCTGCTTCAGGGTCCCTGCAGCATGACCAGGCAGACTCCTGCTGCTCTGCCGCTCACCTCCATCGCCCGTCCCTGCCCGACTCCGCTGCCTGGGCTGGGCAGTGGAGGACTCCTGATGGGTCCCACCGGTGGCTGGAGTCACACTGTCCCTTACACACCTTGCTGGGAGCTTGTGCCGAGCTCAGCAGCTGGCTTTTCTCCACCAGGAATGAGGAAAAGCAATCTGCAGGCTGATGCTGGGGAGAGCAGGGCTTTGATTTGGAGCATCCCTCCCCGCGTGTCACCCCTTGGGCTGACGCCACAGCAGCAGAGAGCTACTGCCTGGGGATGACTGGTGACTCCTGCAGCACAGCTGTCGAGCCGGGTCATCCCACCGCTGACACACAGCTCAGCCCTCCGAGGAAACCTCCCTCCTCCTGGGGATGGGACCTTTGCACCAACCTGATAACTCCCTGCTCCCGGGAACGTGAGTGGCTATGGGTATCGGGAGCAAGCTGTGCCGTGCCGCAGCCCCGGGGGGTCTCTGCGGGGACAGAATCACAGAATCACAGACTAGTCGGGGTTGGCAGGGACCTCTGTGGGTCGCCCAGCCCAACCCCCTGCCCAAGCAGGGTAACCCACAGCAGGCTGCACAGCACCGCGTCCAGGTGGGGCTGGAATATCTCCAGAGAAGGAGACTCCACAGCCTCCCTGGGCAGCCTGGGCCAGGGCTCCGTCACCCTCAGAGGGAAGAAGTTCTTCTTGTGTTCAGCTGGAGCTTCCTCTGCTTCAGTTTGTGCCCATTGCCCCTTGTCCTGTCGCTGGGCACCACTGAACAGAGTCTGGCCCCATCCTCCTGACACCCACCCTGCAGATATTTATGGGCATTT